TTTATTAATTATTAGTTAATAATTATAAATATTAATTATTTCTAATATCCAAACTAAATCCAATTAATACTTTTAAATATAATACTAAAAAATAAAATTATAATAATTGAATATATATATATATATATGAGCTTTCATCTCATGTAATATTAAAGAATATATATATGAGCTTTCCATCTAATGGTTTCTAATGTTACTACAAAATGAGAAATCTGTTTCCTTGACTTACAGGACGCATGATTTGATTTTGTAAATCCTTGATTTAAGTGGCACCTTTCTTGCAAGACTTATTGTTGGTATCCAATTTAAAGGACTCTTAATGGTCAGAGAGATCTTCTGTCTTGGAGTTTTGAGGCATTATTATTGTTGAATGATGAAACTGAAACCCATGCAAAAAAACAAAAAACAAATTAAAAAAAAAAAGGAAAAAGGGAAACCATGAGACAAGATTAGAAGTGGTAGTTGAGGGGGGGAAGTGCTTTGATTTCCCTCAGGAAGGTTAGATGGATGGATTAATTCAAACCCTCTTCATGTTTTAAATCTCATGATCACTTCTTTGTTCTTTCTCCCTCATCACGGCACTGCCAATCCACAGTTTCACTGTTCCTGAGTTCAGGCAGTTTTAGCTGTTCTCTCTATTTTTCTCTTTTTCAACGTCCTTTCCTTTCTTTTCTGTGACTCAGACATGACTTCCCAAAATGAGGGAATTGCTAACAAAAAGGTTATGAACAAAGGAGCATGGACTGCTGAGGAGGATAGAAAATTGGCTGACTTTATTGGGATTCATGGTGCAAGGCGGTGGAAAACTGTTGCACTTAAAGCAGGTGAATGAGATTTTGCTCGTAGTTTCAGTTCAATTAATTTTCATCACCAGAAAGAAATGTGTATGTATTAGGCTTTGATGGGATTGCTCTGTTTTTACAGGTCTGAATCGATGTGGAAAGAGTTGCAGATTGAGATGGCTTAACTACTTGAGACCCAACATCAAGAGAGGCAACATTTCAGACGAGGAAGAAGACTTGATTCTCAGACTTCATAAACTCCTGGGCAACAGGTTTTCTCTTAGACATTTTATCAAACGCATACTGATGGTCTGTTTGCAATCTTAATTTTATAGAAGGAAGCAAAGCAAATGTGTTTTAACATGTTGGTACAGATGGTCATTGATAGCTGGGAGACTTCCAGGGAGAACAGATAATGAGATAAAGAACTATTGGAATTCACATTTGAGCAAGAAAATAAACCAGAAGGAGAAAACAGCACAGGCTTCAACACCACAAGAACCTGTGTACCACAACAGCTGGGAGCCTGCTCAGGTGGAAAAACAAGAACCAGAGAAGGAAACCTGGAACTCAGAACTCAATTTTGATGTAAATGAGTTCTTTGACTTCTCCACTCAAGGATCCTATGGTCTGGAATGGGTGAATAAATTTCTTGAATTGGATGAGGATCCACAGCTCACTGAAAAATGGTGAGCTTTGTTGTTGCTTCTTTTGGCCATCAAGTGAGCTTTGTTATTATAATCTTGTACAATTTTCAAATAATAACTTCCCCATTTCTGCATCTAATATCTTGTCATCAAGGTTCAAAGGATGTCCTGCTTTCTGTTTTTCCACTATTTTCACTAGATTCTTAGCTGAAGAAGCTTGAGCTTGTGGAAGTATACCTGGATTATTTAGGAAAAAATTTGCGTAGAAATGGAGCAGCAGTCAAGTTTGGGACCATGAGTTTGAAAGGGAAATGTGAGTTGTCAAAATGCTGATTTATCTAAACATGGTGTTATATTTTTTGGCAACCAAATGAATAAGGTCCCCATGGATTTGATGAGTCAATATCAACATCCAAAAACAAGAATTTGCTTTGAAAAAAGGGCATTGAAGATTGAAAATTTTAGCTCAGTACAGCATTTGACCATTACATCCCCCACCTTTGTCACTTGAAAATAATCACATCTTACCCCACTAACAAAAAGGGAAGGGGAAGTGCATATAGAAGAGCTTATTTGGAAAGACATGCATATCGTATCAGCCTTCAACATTTAAGGAAGGCTGCTTTTGGAGCTCACAGTAAGTGAAAGAGTTTCAAAGCAAACTGAGGGAGTACATAAGCTGAAAGTAATTAAAAGTGAAAATTAATGAAAACTCAAAAGTTCTTGCTCAAAAGGGGATAAACTATCCTACTTGTACAATTACTGTCACTTAATTGATCATCTTTGTATATAATTCTGTGAAGATGGCAACGGCCGCCTTGTATTTTTCCCTGGACTAGGAGAAGAGATATATTAGGCTTATGAATTTAGTATTATAATTTGTAAACTAAGAAGCTGAAAGTTAATGCAGTCATTTTTCTAACAAGTACTAGTACAAACCACAGTATACTGCCACAGTATTTTAATAAAAACGAGAAAATTTTTTTATTGAACAATCTTCAGGCACTAAAAAATGTCCAATTGCAGCTTCTTCCCAACTCATTGAATGAGATTCAGAGGTCTGTTATTGTACAAGCTTTCACTGTTTTCATGTCAGATTATTGTACACAGTGCACATGCTCCAGCCCCTAATAATAGAGAAATTTTCGTTGGTATTTGTTCATTCAAACATGGTGTCTCTCAAAATTGTGATGTTAGGTCCTACGATGACTCTGCACAAAAAGAACAAAATTAAAGCAAACCTTGTTAATTATTTACCATGTGCTTGTGTCAGCATGTCTTCAATCAGTGCAGGTATTCAGGCTAACAGTTATGATTGTCATACTGCCACCATAATAGATTGGAGTTTCTAATTTCTGAAATCATGTTTTACCTTCATCAGAAAGCCTCAATCTGGTATATCAACAACCTATTTCGGAAGATTTTGACCCTATCTTCAACTCAAAGCATTAATAATTTTTAACCAGCTGCAGATTATCTAACCCAAGCAACCAATCCTACTGCATTCTTCATCATGCTGACTACCAAACCTTCAAATTTCTAGTTGTTAATGCTGGCTTTCTTGATAGTTTTAACGCTTTACATCTCATCATCACAACAGGCAGTACTTGGAAAAAAATTCAAGGGATTTGGATCTGGTTTAGCCTGTTGAACCAAATGGAGTGCAGTATCATATGGAACAAATCATATCTCATTGGCCTTAGGTTCCAGAGAAAATGCTTCTGCACCATCTTCACATTTATTTGCATTTTGAGGTATCGTCTCAGTGGTATAGCCAATAGAATCTCCTTCAGTTTTGGAATATCCTTCTCAGCCACTGTCACAGAGAATGCACTCCAATCTAGAAATTCACTGAGAGGCAATACAAAGTTATCTGCTATGATAACTGGGACACACTCATAATATATAGCCTCTACAATCCTCGGGCTGTTCACTTCATATCCCATAGGGCATATGCAGTATTTACTCAATTTCATGTGCTGAATGTAAGATATATTTCTAGAAACTCGTGTGGGTAAAAGGCCATAAATTTTCATGTCCTCATCTTTGTTGTGCCAGTACTTGAGAAGTCTGGGACGGACCCTGCCATGCATGTTTCCTGCAAAGAAAGCAAGGATTGGGCGTTGTGATACTCTATTCCCACGGCCAATATTTCTAAGAGGCCTTCCAGGATTTCTTATGGCAGTTTCTGGCAACGATAGATCCTTCCCAGGTATAAAAATTTTTTCAGAGAGGTCAGCATTGCATACAGCTTTGATGGTGTTTTTCCTTAGTTCCTGGTGTGCAGTTGTTGTGTAAGGACACTACAAGAGTTAGAATGGTGCAGATGAAGGGTTAGGAGAGAGCATGTGAACAACTGAAACATGATTAATTGAAAGAGGGGAATCAATCTAAAAGAGATTTACAGAATCCCAACAAGAAAACCATTATGGGGTCAAGAATAGGACACCTTAACTTACCCAATCATGGCAGGCAACAAGAAAATGATCTGATCCACGCGTGCGATTCCAAAAAGGATATTTTTCAGAAATCATGTTCACATAATCTTTTAGAAATATTGATAATGGTTTCAAATCATGCGAGTTTGGGACATAGACTGCCAACTCTAGCTGGCGGGCACTGAAAGGTAGATAGTACAAATGAGCCTTTTCAGGGTCCCTTGTGACAAATTCCTTATTTTCCTCCATTAACTTCATGAACCATCCTTCAGAAGCATAAATCCCCATGAGATGAGGATCATGGAAAATGGGCCTCTCTCCATCAGGGTAAATGTAGACTTTAAGTATCATTTCCATCAATTCATAGCTTCTGAAAGTTATGAAAAGATCACAATTTCAACCTTAATTAGTTTCAATATATTCCCACAGCTTAGAGCTCCAAAAAGGACTGAATCAGACCAGAAAGAAAGATTTGGTAATGTTCTCGTTTAAGTAAGCAATCCTTAAATAACCAATGAAAGATGATGCTGTGAGTTGTGAATTATACCTCATGAAAACGGAAATATTGCGAAACACAGGAGCATAGAGATAAGGATCGTCATCGACTGCTGGTGCATGTTCAATCTCCCTTTTAGCATACACAAGTGCCTCATGAGGTGGTAAAGAAGCAATGTGTCTCTGAATCACATGTCTCACAACAATAAAATTAGGGATATCAGCTGGCTGTATCACATGACAGAAAAGAAAAAAATAAAGTCATGGCACTACCTGCAAGCGAGGGGATACTGTTTTACGAGGTGGAGGTGGTATAACTGTTGGCTCATCGTTTATCTTGGTTTTCCTCTTTTTCCTTCTATATCTCTTAGTTCTGGTCCTCTCTTTCTTAAATGGCAATGGCTGAGTTACTTGGGTGGAATTCAGTGAAACTATGGGAGATGCAGGAACAAGTTGAAATTGTTCAAACCTTGCCTCAGTTAGTGTCTTGCTCAAGTGCATGGAACCATTTAAGGGCTGGTGTGAAGAAGTAACAACAGGTGAAGAGAGGAACCACATGGGATAAGTAAGTACAAAGGTTGGAAGCAACACTCCTGCTACTGTCATTATGGCCCCAGCAAAAAACAGTTTTCTCCAGTCAATTCTGCGCCAGGCGACACACCATATTAGTTCTTTCATCAAAGAAATAGCGACACGCTGCAATAATCTCCTCATCTTGTTACTACAAAATTTCAACCTTCCCAATATTATGACTGCACATATGCCATCTTTATCAAAGGTAAAACACATTCAGTGGCTTGCTTTGACTTCCTCACATCTTTGCATACAGTTCCTCTCCGAGCATAGGTCACTAAATACCTTGAAAGTGAGGCATTATGTGCAAACCTACAACATGAAAAAATAAAAAAGTTCACTATTTCCTGTTTGACTTTTGATATCCATATATTGAAAAAA